GCGACGAGGGAGAAAGCGAGGAACCGACTGGGAAGGACAGCAACGAGAGCGTGTACGAAGCGGAGCGGGTCGAGTTTGGTCGTGCTAGGACTGGCCACAGCGGCACCGGAGCAGCGGCACCGGAGCAGGCGGACGGCATCGAACCGTGGCGCACGGACAAACATCTCTTGTATTTGACTGTGTCGGACCCCAAAAAAAGCTGAAATATGGAACATATGTTGAGTTAAGCCATCGTTCTGAGGATCGTTCCTGACAGTCTCGCCAGAACCAGAAACAAGGGAAAAATTTTTCGATGTAAGAGCCGAGCGCGGCTCGTTTTGTGGAAAATTTTGCCAAGAAAACTATTTAAGCAACTTTCTTCGAAACAACACACCCACACCAGTCACCACCACCACACCAGACCCACACGCACACACAGCATTCTGCTACGAACATGTCCAGCACCCGCCCAAAGAGAGAGACAATGCCCAGCGCAACGGCCCTGGATCTGGCGCGCAACGAAGTTGCCAAGAGGGAGGCGGCACGGGCAGCCGGTCGGGTGGGCTTTGCGGCTCTAGGCCAGCAGCACGCCCGAGACCTCGAGGCAGGGGGAGGAGAGGAGCAAGCGGCCGGGCGAGGCGACGATGATGTCCAAGTCGTGGCAGCACCAGCAGCAAAGCAGGCCAGGGTTAGGAAGAGCACGAAGTGGCCTCCTACTTACGACTTGGCGCTGGCAAGGGCGGGTGAGTCTGTCCCCGCGCAAGGGTTATGTTCTGATTTTCTAGAGAGAGGCGGTTTGGATGTGTTCCCTCCCCAAACCCCACCCCCATACGCTCCGAACGCGACACAGCACTGCAGGAGCAGCCGGCAACAGCAGTGGTATACGTACTTGCTGTCTCCGTACTGGTGCGATCTCCTGTGCTGGAGTTGGTTGTTTCCTTTGCTTGGGTTGAGAGAGCGATCNGGATGTGTTCCCTCCCCAAACCCCACCCCCACACGCTCCGAACGCGACATAGCACTGCAGGAGCAGCCGGCAACAGCAGTGGTATACGTACTTGCTGTCTCCGTACTGGTGCGATTTCCTGTGCTGGAGTTAGTTGTTTCCTTTGCTGGGGTTGAGAGAGCGACCCATGTTCGCGCGCACACATGCACGCTGTTCTTGAACTGCTGTAAAAGAGACAGCCACTTCGAACCAGATTGTTGATCCTTGGCAACGAGGGTGCAACGAGTGCACAACATATACGAAAGATTCAATCGAATAGCAGCGGAGTAGGGTAGGAACACAAAGCTATATTCGGTGTTCGTAGGGGAGATACAAGTCTTGCTTGGCGAAGAAGCTGATACTTTCTTGCACTGGTTCCGACGTGGAAAAAATACACGTCACGTCACATGTGGCATCATGTTTAAAATTTAAAAGCAGCGACGAGTTATCTGGGCGTACAAAGCCGCTGCATCTCCCAGTAGATGCAGTCTACTTGCAAGGAATGTCACATGTCGCCTTTAGATGGAACCAGCAGGACAAAGGTGCACACAAAATTGTAAGCGCAAGGTGTACTCGACTAGTACATTTTCGCTACACAACGGCACATAGCCCAGATATTATGGTGGGCGCGGATCCGCTGCTGCGTCCCACAGGTTAGGCAGTCTACCCGTGGCACATCATGTTGCATCATGTTATAAGGGGTTGCCCGCAGCGTTACTTATCCTGCATCCCGCTGTCGCCACAGTAGATGCAGTCTACCCGAAAGAATGTCGAAACAACTACTGCGAAGCACCGCGGACCCGGTGCAGTTGCCACTCTGCGCAATAGCCATTCCGTGCGCTGCAAGACGGCCGGTGTTCACGGACTCGTTTAGTGGCGAGACCTGTGCTCCCTCCTCTACTCAAAACGCACATGTATCTTATGTAAAAAATGGAGCCGAGGCAAGTCCTCACTACGACATTCAAAGGCGCTCCCACCCTTGTCCTCTACAGGTCTGCAGAACGCAGTGTGGAAAGTGAATGGGAACGGACGTTCGGTCGGCGAAAGGTGGGACACCTGCTGGAAGACTCTCAACCAGGAGCCCTTGGTCAGGATGTTCAAGGATAAGACGTCCAAAAATTGCAAGTCGCGCTACGACAAGATCGTTGACGACCAGAGCAAGAGCGATGGTAAAGCCCTGCGGGACTCCGGAGCCGGTACTGCTGAGAGTGGCTCGGAGGACGACGTAGAGAAGAATACCAAGGTCCAGCTGGTGAGGGGTCTAGAGCGAGTAAGCTATCTCTACCTTTTGTGACGGGCGCAAGCCTGAGTGTACACGATCATGGCACAGTCTAAACAAGACGGGCACGAAGAGCTGCACATGGAGAATCCACAATCNAACGCACAGGGTTAGCCGTAAGTCCAACTTAAAATGCGCAGCATGAAAAAAGCAAGACAGAAGTAGATAGACAGCACGCAAGCCCGAGTGCTACACGCCAGGCGACGCAAAACGTGCAGAGAGTTAGCTTGCTGAGACGGTCCTTCACCCAAAAAATCAAAACAGCGTCGAGGTTTTCACTCCCACTCTGTTTTGTTTAGGGGCGTGACGTAACAGTGTTGACACGGAAGTACAAAACAGACGATGCATATAGCTATCGTCGACGCTAGTGATGCAATTTGTAAAGCGTAGAGCTGACGAGCTGCCGCGCCGCTGTTGTTTCTTGTCCGCGACGTGCCGCACAGGACAAAGTTCTGACCGCGATAGTGGACGCGAAGGCTGCCGCGAGGCAGGACTCGGAGGAGACCAAGCAGAAGAAAGCCGACGAGGCGGCCTCGCACTCGGCGATGGGGATGTGGGCCATCAACCAGGGCAACGCCCGATGCGGGCCGGGCGCGAAGGCTACATCATTCGAAGAAGCTGTTGCCGCCGACAACATCGCGTTGGGTTCCCGCTCCGGTGCAGCAGCCGGTGGCCGTGCCAGCGGTCGGGTGAGTCCGGCCAGCAGCATCGGGGGGGCGAGGCCCGCGTCGGAGGCTTCGGCGGGTGGCGCTGCTAGCGGTCGATCGAGCCCGACCATGAGTACGGGCGGGCTAGACGACGACTTATCGCCCGCGGGGAGCGGGCCATCGAGGAAGGTTCCACCGCTTGGCGAATTGGTGAAGCACATGGGGTCGCTGAGCATTCCGACGCTTGCGCAAAGTGCCGGGGTCACCACGGAGGAGGCGGACTACTTCCTCAACACGGGCTTCACGGCCGACGAAGTTCAGCCGGAAAGGGCCGTGGCCATGATGACGGTACTACTCGACAAAAGGCTTAGTCTCCAGCGCGACGGAGACAGCGTACAGGACTACATGGATGATCTTGGTGAAGACGATATGCAGCTGCCCGGGTTTGATAGGTTTGACGAGTCGGTCATGTTCAAACTACTCGAGCTCTACGGCGTGGAAATGATGGACATCCGCAGCCTGCCGGAATCGAATTGGTTTCACAGTGGATGACCCATAGAACGCGTTACGCCGGACAAGGTGCTTCAGGGTACGAAGCGGGTGGCGAGGTTGTTGGTGCTTGGCGCCGGCGTGACGAAGTCCGGGCTGTCCGCCGCCGGTCAGACATCCATCCCCGGTTCTGCAACAGTGGGGGGTGCGCGCGCCATGTCAGGCATGGACCCTTCAGGGGCGGCGAGTGGGCCTTCGGGAAACCGTGGAAGGAAGCCCCGTGCCACTACCAATAAGCTCGCCGAGGATGGGCTAGATAGGTAAGTAAGGCTGTTCGTCGACTCTGCCCATGTCTTGGTTCTGGCAACTCCTTCGTGTGGTAGACGCTGTGTATTAGTGTTAGATTATTTTGGTGGACGTAACCTGTACCAGAGAAGTGTCATCGCAGCATTATTGTCGGCTACTCCACCAGGGAGGTGCCAGAGCTTACCCTACCCTGGTGCCTCTCTTGCGCCGTTGTGCCACGTGTCCCAGCTTCATGGAGCGACAGGTGGCTGACGCTCGGGCACTCGCCGATCAGAAACGTGACGAGGACGAGAGGAGGCGGGCGGCGGAAGCT